ATACACCAGCAGGACGCAACACCTAACGCACTTACTATACCCCCTCCAGATCACCCCTCCACATCACAATATAGTATAGCAAGATTCAACAAGTGGGTAACCATTTTCCCCACCACAAATATTTCCACGTCTTACATCACTACTATAAATCTAGATGAGGTCTGTTAGCCTACTCTAGTAGAGTCTTAGGCCGAGAATAAAGTAGCCCTAGCTGTAGGTCCTGTAGTAATTCATGTAACTCATTATTTTAATGTAACACATAATTATTCAATAAAGACCGAGGCCAGGCCTCACTCTATTAAAAAAAAAAAAAAAAAAAAAAAATAATCGGAACAAATGCTATTAGCAAATATATTATTGAATAAAAGAATAATGAAAACATATATACAATAATTTTATACTTTATCACCTATCATTTTGAAAACTAAAAATCTTGGCAACGAGGAGGTATACTGTATGTTATTGGCTGATTATTTTATAATGAACCTTACATACCTTTGAAGAGTGAGAAAATTTTTCTGCCTATAAATACGATAACTTTTCTTTACATGTATATTAGCACATTAAAGATATCTTTTCACCTTAAAATTGTTTGAGAAAATACTGATTATAAATAGTATTGGCTTTCTAAATTAAAAATAAAATGGCATTTGAATAATGTTTCAAATGAAAGTTATAAGAAAATAATGATGCTATAATAAACATTGCGACATAAATGGATCCATACCCTATACATTCATTTATCGTATTATCAACATACTATTTGCAACCTTGATTAACTCATCATCTAAAATTGGCATTAATTCATCTAAATCTACTTTAGATATATCCTATACTTTACCGAAATTTCAATATATCATCAATGGAATCTTTTTAATAAAATGTATGAGTATTAAATTTGGATACATCTTTGTAACAATTTGCCACTTCTATCGGATAAGTGTTCTTTAAAATCATCAATAATTTATTACAAACGACCTGTAATATCGATTATTAATTTCATGACGTTATT